ATGAGAAGATTGCATCAGGGATCTGGAAGACCACGCTTAGAGAAACAAGGTTTCGGAATGGAGGGCGATTCCTCGCCGATTACTTTCCGGTCCAAGTGATCCCACACTGAAACACGTGTTTTAAAGACACAAAAGAGCCATCATCTTGTGATTACTGTTTTACATTTTGACCACATTGCGGTTTAACGTGAACGGAAGCGATTCGGGAACGTAATATACGACTGCACTTTTCAGGACGTGATTCTCTACCTTTTATTTAGTCGCTGCCTAGTCTTAATGTGAAAATCATGATTAAAGTTTTATACAGCTAGTGTCCGATCATTAGTATATGTTGACGTCTTTTTAGGTTAAAAATTATATCTAGTGAAATTTAATCTCTAGGCTTTTGTTATATGCACTGTTGCATGTTACACAGAATTATCACCGTGATATTAATTTTTGATTTCTGTTTGAGGCCGCATAAAATGTATTGGTGATTTTAATCTGTCAGTAAAGGAAGCAGAAAGTTTATAACCGTTGGAATGTCTGTCTTTTTTTACAATTACATGATGAGAGTGGTAATAGCACCCTTGTTTCCCGAACTTAGTGTTTGGGGCGGAGAACTCAGTTTCCATGTCATCACTGCCTTATCTTTAAACTAGACTCGACAGCGGCTGTGTAGAAGCAAACGGTATATTCTTCTGCTTCCTTCTCGCTCATTTATCAATTTGGGAAGGAAGAGACGGCGTGACCCCGTCCGGGGGTCAAGTTCAAGACAGATCAGTTCTGTACTGAAGTTCTGCCGGCTAAGTAAGTCCGGTCTGAAGCAACGTTAGGTAAATTCGTGGTAAAAACAAAAGCTGCTGATTCTGACATTTCCGAAGTTCGAATTCAAAGCCTACCTCTTCTGCAGTGCCGCCATGCCGTTAAACCCAAGTAGAACTACTGTAACTACTGTCATTAACTGTCGAGATCGAAACGGAAGCATAGCAATAATAAATTATTTAGATTATTATTGATCTTTGACTAATCAATTATCCCAGAAACATTCAACGGAACGAAACGAACTTCATGGATCTGAAGTTACTGACACCTTTGCTGTACGCCAATTATGCATTTTAAAGATAAGCTTAGATTTCGGAATGCGAACTTGAGTCAGTATGGCATATGCCTGATTAAGTAAAGGATTTCATAATGTGTTTCTCTTATGTTCGACGTATAGTTGCCTATGTCACCGATTCACCATCACGAGATTGTTTACCAAAATTTTTCAATGTCATTCCCATGCAGTGGTCATTTTGCAATACACTGCAATCCAAAAAAGTTTTTATGATTGATTTTCGACCTCCTTCGTCGTTGATCCGCTCAGAACAATCAGACTTTTTTGTTCAAGGGATGCAGTTCATACTGCAAAGAATAATAGTAATAATTTTCACTTTGTTCTTCTGTTCAATTGTAGATCTCTTAACGTGAATGACGTTAAATGATGAATAATCTTGAACAAATCGCCACATAATAAACCCGCAACTGTCATTGCGTTTTACCGTCAAGTTTCAGAACGAATAAGAAAATACGTAATGAAAATGAGGCTTACTATTCTATTGCTAATTCATGATCATACTGAGATATTTCTTTGCAAAAATTTTTTCCTGCCAGCCAAACATAAAACCATACACGTACTTCATGAAATAGTCTAATGATTACGTCACAGTTAATCTGGCGTAACCTTCAGACGGCTTAACTGTAGGGTAAAGGAACATTTATTTCATAACAGTTTTATAACATGTCTTTCCCTGAGGAAGGATTGGCATAATCCGAAACATTGTGTATTGTAGATTTCAAGTGCGGTCTCCTTTTGAATTTTGAACCAATTCCCGCATAAAAGAACCACCTTCGTTTAAAGTCTGTAACGGAACATCTGACTTCTTGTCGTGATGATCATCCAGAGACTTTATGGTTGCCGTGCGATACTGACGTAGTGTATAGGCAACAGCTACCACTGCACCAGAGACATACAGAGACGGTCGTAGAATCAACGTCTTGAGAACGCCCCATTGTTCCGTGCTGCAAATTCATCCATAGCTCATTATCGTCACGACCGAAGATCTTAGGTCGGACAGAAAACTCAATTTTTGAGGGTGCACGTTGGATAGTCAGCTTTCATATGGGTCGGCATAATGCAGCCACAAGCGGCGGTCGTTTCGAACCACATCACAATGCATCTCCTTCATTTTGGTATGACCACACCTGAATATCATGCTGTCCCTGTTGTTTGCAAGTCTACAACTTGCTACCCGTTTCTAGAGTGGTTGCACGGACACCATTGGTGTTTTTTGCCGTCTGCTGCTAACCGAGCTTAAATAGCAGAGTAAGCCAGATTTATGACGAAATAGTACTTCAGATTAATAATAGGTAACGCTTATATTCCTTGTCGGAAGCAGGTCTTCTTCAGCCAGGTATTTCAACGTTCTGTCGTGTGATCCAGCATGTCGTCTATAGCCAGTGTACGGTTCGATATCAGGATGCAACTTATGTACATTGCTTGCTCAAGGGAACAGGGGAATTTCTGGTTACGACAATGGTTGTCCCTAGTACGGAGTTGGAAGCCAATTTCTCTGCCACTGCACCACCACGCCCCCAACCCGTACAATAGTGTGACGCGTCAAACGAATTTAGGTGAGCCGAATGCTTCACAAGCTTCAGCATGGCTGAGCTGGCTGAGCTGACGGCCGTCCAGCATCACGAATCCGTTGGCGCTCGATCCGGTAATTGCTCCACGCTCTGCCGATCGTGCACGCAATCAAATTTATTTCCCTCTTTCCTCGCCTCATCTTGTCACCTCGCCGAGAAGAAGTTTGTCACGGCGTTCGAAACCGCGACATTTCGCAGAATTGGCGCGTCCGTTTCGAACACGACGACGTCAACGGATGCCTCATGAGTTGTAGGTGTAGTCGATGGCCGGGTGTCGGGAAGACGAGCTGCGGTTAATCGCTTCGAGCCCAGCAAATGACAGACGAATTGAACCGGGCTCAAAACGTACACCTGGTCATGTGACCTTAATTATTTCGATTAATTATGATTATCGCCGCGTCGTTGTCTTTTAATTACGGTCCGTGCAAAGCCGACAGTCGCCATCTGTGCATGTGTTCTAGTGAGCCTCGTCGCGATGGTTTCGTAACAGAGGTTGCTCCTATTGAAAAGTGTCTATTTAGAAGCATTTCAGGAACATTAAGCCCTGCCTGAGTCCCACCGACCGACGACGGACATCAGTGAGACCCCAGCGCCCTTAACGGACCGCACTCACCGTCATGGCGGTTGGTCGGCCGGCTCGTCTCCTGATAGCCGTGGTCATACTGCTCGCGTCCGTCATCAGGTCTTTCCGGCTCGGTGCAGAAGCGACCAACTTCTACCGCAGTTCGCGTAAGTCTAGCTTTTACACGTGCTTGCTACTGCGCAGTCGCCGTTTCTTTGATTGACCGAATTCACACTTGTTTAACAGTGATCATGTACCGGTTTCAGTCTGTTGGCGGCCGCAATAGATTCGAGCAAGGATTCATTCGATCCAGTGCGCTGCTGTACAACCAGTTGGGAAAGTTGAACCAGGACATTGACCTGCCTGCAATAGAGACAGTATGGTGTTCTGGGTAAGGGGGCAGGGTCCTGCCATATCTTACGGTACTTAAGACCATGCTGTTCTCTAAGCGTGCCCTGCAACTACAGTTTGTCCTGAGCCACCTGATAGCTGATTAAATGTCAGCATATAAGTTGTGACCCTTAAATAAAAATAAGTGAAATAACACTTTCTCCACCGACATGGGTAAACATGTATTTCTTTACATTCCATGGAGCGCTCCTTCGAACTGGCGTTGTGATACGGTACCCAAAAGATTGGCTTTGAATTCGATTATGCTTTTAGAAAAATCTTTGCCCTAACCAATAATTCCTTTGACCAGGGAATTTACACCACACGTTACTCAGTCAGAAAAACGTCGGATTCTGACCCGGTAGGTCGCGGATGGAATTCGACCCAATTTCGAGTAACTCGTCTTTCTTCCTCCTGAAATTTCTAAATGAGTCAAAAAGCTATGCAGGCCAGGCAACGACTGCATTGCTGTGCTTGGCAGATGGCTGCTCTCGACTTTGCCTTTAAACCAAAGCGTTCATACATGATATCATTGAAATGGAGGTCAGTCATCGCGCTACCATCAGTTTGACGAGAAAAGGGCATCAGAAATGGCTGCGTCATTGTCGTCCTAAAGGAAGATCGACATTCCAGCGGTCATAAGTTAATGCTGTCTTTCCTGTTCCTTGTTTCTGTACCGACATACAGTTTCTTTTCCTACCTATTCTTCAGTATATATGTAGTTTGTTGACATCGGTGATGTAAGCTCTAACATTGCCTGAATCATTCTGGGAAGCAAAGCATCACATATCATTAATTTGGCTGATCTACTCTTGACCCTGATACCCCAGATCACGATGACAATAACGACATAAGCGCTGAATGGAGTGTTTTCGAAAACTTCATCAACACTAATGAAAGAAACGTACGATAAGATGATTTCATTTATTTCTTTCCCTTATTCAGATATACCTGTTCCGTTGAGATTCAGCGAAGCACCCATCCGGTCAAGCACATTTCAATTTCAGGTTCTTTCTGCTGTCGGCTATATAACAGGCTTTCACCACAAGTTAAGTAGATATGCATACGTTTACTGACGTATGACGCCCATCTGTAGTCAACCAAACAGAGATCATGACTTTGCGAGGCTAATATGACAGGGAGTACTGCTAAAAGACGAGGTATTCGGTTCGAGCGTTGGTAGTCACAATTTGGACGACACAGAAACGGGGTTTTAAAGTGCAACGTGAATTAATGGTCTGTTGTATAAAAGACCGATGCTGACGCTGGGAGACCTCTAGGCCAACTATCTGCTGCAGATGTAGAAATTCTTTTATAGATTTACCTTGGAACACATTCGTGAGATACACGCCGGAACGTCCGACTGTGTCTCTCATGCGAATCATAATTTTTGTATGCTATTTTAGGGAGATTAAGGTGGTTTTATTTTCCGTATGGAAGCGTTTACGCCTTTGCCTTCTTTGTTTATCACTTATTGTTTCACAACCTATTTATTTACCACTTTATTCTGTGCTTCAATGGTAAAGCATGCGTCGGTATATAGCTAATGCTATCGTGCTCAAGGGAAATGTGATTTAAATACTAGAATAGGTTGGTAACTTAAGACGATTTAATAACGCGTCACTCCTCCAAGACCAGCTTTCACCTCGTTTAGCACCATCCCCTTGCACCTAGTTGTCCATAGAGTCATTTAAGCAGGCATCAAGTATTTGGTATATGTTTTGCGGTATTTGAGCATCTACAGTACTAGATGCATCTCGCATCGTTTTGTCCATTAGAGCCACCTCATTCTCATCATGAACCACCTTTCAGGAGTTGGTACTCTTAATATATTACCGTATAAACATCAAAGTACGCTCGTACGTCCGAGTATGTCAGATGGGACATAACTGTTTCAAAACCAGATTTTACTGATTATCGCACCGCCCTCTTGCTCCCAGTTGCATATAGGGGAGAAGAATCGTTTAAGCAGGTACCTTGTCTCCGTGATATTTGAATCTCTACAGTGTTCGATGCATCACGTATCATTTTGTTCACACTAGCTGCATTAGACTCATTACGAACGATGTTTCAGGAGCTGATAATTCTCGTATGCTACCAAATAAATGCTATGTTCTCAATACCCATATCTTTAGACGAATAGCTTGCCCAGGAAAGCCCCACTAACTCTGTTAATCTTCTTAACAGTGGCACTTCTCAGATTTGTATTCGCTTATAGAAAAATCGGCAGTATTCTTAATCGCTTCTGCCGAAACAGAGAAATGTGAAAGTGCTCTCATGATCCTTCCACCTACCAGTATCCGTACTTTAGAGCACATAAACCAACGGTGCTGAAACTGGGGCAAGGTCTTCTTCTGTATTTGTACTGCCCAAGATGTTCGTTGTTTTCATGGATTTTTGAGGTACCATTGCTGAGCACTGTCCAAAAAAAATAAATCAGGTTAAGTGAATAAATCTGAACTTGAAAATCAGGACCGTGATCTGAATATGGTGTAGTAGACTCGCTAAGCTGACGTGAG